AGAAAGAAGCATGTGACTCAAGAACACTTTAATACTTTAATAACGCTTTAATAACAGTCTTTAATACTCCATTTTTCATTTATGAATTTTCAGTAGACTACACAATAGTTTATTATTCTATCATACTCTTTAACATGTTCATCCTAACTTTTGTGTGCTTGCGGGTGGTGTTAAGACATATGCAAAAACTTTATCACTTTTCAATTATGAACAGATGTAAATGACTTACTTGATGTTTTATTTTAGAATAACAAGCATCTTCTAAAATAAGATTCAAATGAGAAGCTAGGGCTATAGTTATTGAAAGAGACTTAACACTCCAAAAGTGAACCCTGATATGTTCTTCAAATGTCACTCCACGTCTCTGTTCTCCAATTTCTACATCTGTCACAAAGATGTCATAATATGCCTGGAAGATGCTTTGAGATGCTTAGAAGAAAGACGTCGTAATTATAAAGCTCTGTTAAAATACAGGTTACTTTCACCTTTTGCCAGGGACTAATGATTACCGTGGCCATATTAAGTAAGACAGAGTGATCCATCTAAATGAGCTCACCTCGGCAATTTTATGGTGGGTGAAACATTATTTGGTTTTCCAACTTTTCCCCTTGGCTTTATTTCAATCTTCCAGGCAGAGCATCAAGTGAGAATGCTTCAGTGCTTTCTCACTGACCCAGGAGTGAGAGGCCAGAGCAAGCAAGTCAGTATTCAATTACTTTCCCCACTTAGGTCTATACACCCTTCTTACACTTTTCCCATTTGACACTTTCATAACCATATTTAGCTTTCTTCCTACCATCTCCTTGTAATTCAAAAGGCAGTTTAGACTCCCATATGGTTGCCATCGAAGCTAACAGATGTCTAGCAAATTAAAACAAAAATTATGACTTATAATCTGCTGACGTATCATCATTCCAGAACATCTTACAGTTTATAGTGAATCATAAGATAAGACTTCATACTTATGCCCCCGGCAAGGTTCCCTAAATCTCTCTCCTCTCTGAATTTAAGCCCTGTGGAAACAGATGAGATGCAACATTCTGCCATCAAACCTGGATAAACCTCCACTTAAAGATACAATGTAATATTTGCTAGCACAACAAAGAGAAATTTGGCCTCAAGGATCCAAGGCTTTCTAATCTTTGTACAGCAAAGAGAAGAGAAAAATGACTTGGTTCTCCCAAGTCACTCAGTTCCACTGATCCATAGTGCTTTTTTTCAAATACGTGATGATCCAATCTATGGAATCCATTCGCCTCATCTCCTTGGCAGATACTAAGAGGAGCATCATTACCTGGTAGTAATGATGCCAAAGGAGCAGGCTAAGGTATTCTTAGTTTTATAGCCAGGATGGAACTAGTACAAAATCTGGAGACAATGACACAGACCATATTCACCATTTGTTAAATCCTGAGACACTGTGCTGGATAATATCTTATCTGATTGCATCCTTGAATCTGCAACTCTATTGGATAACGTTATCTTTCCTTTATAAATGAAATTAAGGCTCGGTGCAGAAGACTCTATTTTCCAAAGATGGCCACAACCCACACGACCCTGACACCTGTCTGACAAAAGAGGGAATTTCCTTCGTCAGCACTTTGAAGCTGAGCAGGCGCCACTCCTGCTTAAACCGGTGGAATAGATGAAACTGACGCTGGGCCAGTTCCGGGAGTAGCCTTCACTGGCTGGAAGTTTCTTCTGCCAGTCTCAGAGACAGGAAGAGGCCACGTTTAGGTGCTCTAGCCAACAAATCTGGCTGAACTCTCAGCAAGCATCACCTGCCGGTCATGTGAGGGTACCCCCTTGGGCATCCCACTCCAGTGAGCCTTCAGTTAACTCCAGCCCAGCCACATCTCACTGCAACTGCATGGGCCACTCCAAGTGCAAATCACCCACATGAGCCTGGTCAAATCACAGAACTGTCAGATAGAATAAAGTTTTATTTTAAACCACTAAGCTGTGGGGTTGTTTGTTATGTAGCAAAAACAAATTTACAGAATTTGTAATAGCAATAACAAATTTACAGAAGCAGGCTGCCCATTCCTGACCCCAGTGCTCCAGTCAATAACATCTTAGTCTGAGTTACTGGGATCAAGTATCATGACTACCTTCCTGCTGATCATCACTCTAGAGACCAGGGTACTAAAAACTCAGAGATTCCAATATGGGGTAATTTTGAAGCAGACAGCAGGATAGGAAAGGTATGAGGGTGTATATGAGTGGAAGGCTTTAGGCACAGAAAGGAGGGACAAGGTGTGTAGAAAGCAGAGTAAGAGAAGGGCCCTTCTAACAAAGGCATCTACATAACAATTCTGCCTGGGGCAGCTGGTTTAGTTCCACAGCCTACATCTCTTTTCAGGCTTCCCATAAGACTTCCCCCAAGAGATGAAGACCTTCAAAATGAGATAAGACATGACTCTCTTCTGCAACTCTCTATGCAAGCACTCTGCAATTCTTTGAAGCTCTCCACAGTTCCAGAGGTTTTGCTACAACCTAATCCACAGAAAATACTCAATATGCCTCTATACACTACAAAATTACACCAAACTGTCAGGGAGACAGGCCCAAATCCCTTTATTTCTTTTCCACCTCCTGCTACGAAACTGCAGAGAAAGCCCCTAGGTACTTTTTGTTGCCTAGCTGCTGAAATGTGCAACTTTTGGAAGTGTTCAAGTAGAATCAAGAGGCTTGGACTCACTACGCCAACAAGATCCAGTCCCAATTCGGTAGTCCTTGACTCTCAAAGTTATGAAAGTTTCAAGTTCAGATAAAAATCAAAATGCCTCACCCAGAAATAAACATTTCCAACAAGGGTTGAAAAAAAGGAAGCAAGGAAAGAAAATAATTTCTTCTTCCTATATTTGTAGCAGTGTTTGACTGCAGGGAGGGGGGTGACTGCTAACAGGAATCATGTCCAATCCCTGGCAAAAATGGCCTGTGAAAGACTAGATCTGATATTTATTCATGTGTCCCCCTTCATCATTAGTCCTGAGGCCAGATGACATGCTGACACAGAAAGTGGTCTCCAATCCCTCCCATTTCCTTTTGCAAAACATTCATGAGCAGTGCAAGGTACTCCTACAGAAAACAGAAAATAAAAATAAAATAGCCTAGTACATGTGTGGCAGAAAAAACAAGAATATAAAAAGCTGTATTGACAACTATTCTCATCAATGTATATGTTTACAGCGTATGGCCAAAATTAAAGGAGAATCAAAATAAATGCACCCTGTGTTAAGACTGTTGTGGATTATTATTGATACCACGGCTGGATTATTGTTTATCTCACACTGAACCTACACTGAACAGCAACTTGGAGAACCACCCCCACCCCAGACAGCCACCATCTTTACTTTCCATGGGGGGAAGAGTGGGGGGCAGGAGGAGTGCCCAGTAAGGAAAAGGATGGGATGGGATGGGATGGAAAGGAAAAATAACACGGTCTTTGCACCAACGTTTTCCTCTTGTCCTAGTGAACTCTTTGTCTGGTCGCTGAACATGTTTGTGAGATCAAGGAAAAGAATTCAAACAAAACAAAAGAGTAGGCATCCCAGCCTAATTACAATAGGTGCCCAGCACATTGTAGCGGCAGCAAAGCATGGTCTGAATCTTTCCTTCAAGCATTTGCTCTCCCAGTAGCCCCATAAAACATGCCTCGTACACCTTCTCCTCTGCATTTCTCCAAGGTTTCCCCAAAACGGCCCGCTCTATGTCACTCCTCAGAAAGGAGGACGTGAGGCACGGACACACTGAAACATATGTTGATGGTGACTTCCTCTTATCCTGACAATAATACAGAGAGAGAAATAAATCCCTCCAGCCCACACGCCCACTGGTCAGTCCATTACGCAAAAGGAGCGCTTTCCAGATGAAGGGGAAGAGCGTGCAGGAAGCGTTATTTACGTGCACATTACAGAACCGTATACCACCGCATCTGCATCCTACACAAAGCCCGAGATGGTGCAAGAAGATGCACGCTGAACATGGCACAGACCAGCCGCGGCAACACGGAGCCAAGCCCTCGTCCAATCAGATCCTTGTTAGAAGGTGGACCTCAGGGTCGGGTCTGCCCGATTAGCCTTCCCTATTATGACACCACGCTCAGCCCAACATCCATATCCCACCCGGAGCAAATCTCATTCGAGTGGTTGCTCATCTCTCAAACTGCCGAGCCCTTTCTTTCATCTGCATCCACGCTATTCCTCCCTTAAAAAGCCACCCCAAGGCCTGGGTGCCCCCTTTCCGGCTCGGTTTTTCTTTTTACCTCTTCGCGTTCCTAGAAAGGATTAAATGTTTATCTCTCCAACGCGCAGGCTGAAAAGGCGGAAGGCAAATGCCTCTCCGTGCTACCGCAAGCGCCCGAGGGGCTGCGAAAAGTAAACGCAGAGAGCAACGTGGGGGAAATCGTCGCGAATCGATCGGCCACGATAGTCGAAATCCCAGAAGCGCTCCAACTTACCCAAAATATGACATTGAAGCCAAATATGAAATATTTGATGCAACAACTGACTTCAGGACCCTTGTAATGCTTCCCGGACATCCTCTGGGTTCATGAAGACACTTGCCCCGGCAGCCCGAGTTTGGAGCCCCTGAGCACCGTTGCTCGGAGCAGCACGGCGGGGAGCTGGGGCTCAGGGACGCCGCTCGGGGGCCGCAGCGCAGCGGTCGGGGCTGAGCAGCGCAAGGACCGACCTGCGGAGAGCGGCTCCCGCACGTCCAGCCCCTCGCGCGCCGAGGCCGCCGGAGCCGGGGTGGCCGCGAGCGGGCGGGGAAGCGCGTGCTGCAAGCCCCGACCTTCGCTGGAGCTGGCCCCGAGCACAAGGCGAGCTCCCAAGCCCGTCCGCCAGACGATCCGTCCGTCGGTCAGTCTCCGTGCAAACGCGGCCGCGGCAGATGCTGGAGGAGACGCTCCTCGCCCGCCTGCCGGCTCGCGAGCTCCCTCCCACCCCTCGCTCCGCCCGCCGATCGCTCCGCCCGCGCCGCCCGCAGCTCCGCCCGCCTCCCGCCGCCGGAGCCTCGGCGAGGCGCGCGCGCGCACGGGCTCGGGCTCTCCCGGATGGCGGTGGGACGAAGTACGCGCGCCGCCCCCTCGTTCCAGCGCTCTCCGCTCCTGCTGCTCCCTCCGTCCTCGCCCCTCCTCAGGCCAGCCCGGAGCGCCGCCGACCCGCGAGCACTGCAGCGGGGTAGGTGGGGAGGATGGCCGGGCGGAGGGAGAAGTATGGGTGCCCGGGTAGCACGCCCATTGGGAGCAGCCTGGAGGAGTGACGGGGGTTGATGAGCAGCGGGTCCCCCTCTGCCACCGGCAGCAGCAGGCAGCTTCTGGAGGGACGCGGGGGAAAGGGTCGCTTTGGGGCGACAGTAGGGATCCTGAGTGAGAATCTTCCCCGCGACCCCCGGACGAGCCTCCGTTCTGGGTGTAGCCACACTCACGCCTCCTGCTCCACCACCCGGTTTTGTGGCAATAGAAGACGCCGGGCCACTGAGCCGGAGAGGAAAGGGGTCGTAGACTTTGCAGGGAGCAAAGGGGAAGGATAAGGTGTTAGGGAAGGGGGAGAAAAGAGAGATGGGAAATGGGGGGAGCGAATCGGGAGGGTTGCATAGGAAAGGACCCCGAATCCCAATGCGGCTCCAACCCAACTTCCCCACCTGCGGGAGAAATAGGCTTATCCTAGAAATGGGGACGCGGAAGGAGAGATGGCCCAAAGGAATCCTGACCCGGGATACAATCCTTGCCCTAGGGCCAGTTGCCAACAACAGAAACCCGGATTGCAAATGCTCCCACGAGACGGAATAGTGCCGAAGGAACTTGACTGATCTTAACTCTAAGAAGGAATCCAGCAAGGCGTTCCAGGATGGTCTTCCGGGGAATCCGCATTGAGTTTATAGATCATGAACGGTTAAGCTTTTGACCTCTGAGGAAGGATGGAACGTGCCTGGAAATTATATTGGAGCCCTACCTGAGAAGGTGTGCCCGTTAGTTGTGTATCTGCCTCCCGCCTGGAGCACTTTCATAGGTGCTGACAAGCGGGTACCAGTATTTCATGGAAAAAGAATGAAGAACCGCTCAGAACTGTGTGTAAACATCTGTGGGAATTTTTTTAAGGCTTCAGAAACAAAGCTTCAGAAACAAAGAGATGAGATCAGGAAATTTTTCCAGTACCACCCCGTGTAACCTGGTACTGGGCACAGAAATCTGCATGTTTCCTAAGCTCTCACATGATACTTAAGTATGCTTGAGAACCTTTGTCCTAGGGCTTCCCTGGTTAACTACTTCTCACTTTTCTCAAAAACTAGCTAGCTTGTTGACAACCTGTTACGTGGAGGAGCAAGAAGTTACTTCTTGCAATAAATCGCACTTAAGTAGACTTGGCCTTGAGAGGAATTGGGGCTATATTGAGGCCACAGGTAGGAGCCAGGGTCCCCACAAAGGTGGAAGAACCAGGAGATTCTAGAATTATGACACTGGTTAACAGTGACTTGAGCCGTTTGGATGAAATAACCCTCAAAAGTGTCCTCCACCCACCCAAAACACACAGCATAGTACTACCACCAATCTGGTGGGCTTGAAAGGTAAAGTCTGCTCTTAGCAGCAGATTCCCTACTAACAGGAAGGCACTGACAAGCTTTACCTAAGCCTACTGGTGCTATATTGTAATTCTTTCTGTGCATAAATAAAACAGTTCCTGCAGATTCCTGGATAAATCAAAGGAAAGGTCTATCTTAAGCTGATATGACACAACTCAGAAAAGGACTAGAAATTAGATCCAGTTGATGACTGAGCTGATCCCTAAGCAGGATTTACCTTTGAAATAAAACTCAACAGAGAAGGGGAAGTTCAGATAACTCACTGGTAATTTGGGGCAGGGGGGCTAGTTGAGTTCTCATTTCATATGTCAAAAGCAAGTCCAAGGAGGATTTATGAGTTAAATGTATTTTTTAAAGCAAACCAGAAAATACTATTTGTTAAACCTCTGGCTAGAAGTCTTCCTCAACTTAGAAGCAATAGAAGGAAATGATCAATGGATATGACTGGGTAATACCTAAAACTTCTATGTGTCAAACATTATTTTAGACAAACCTAAACCAAAAAAAGAAAAGAAGTGACAGCAAATATAAAAAAAAAGTATGAATATCTATAAGTAGGGCTCATACAGCTAAAGTAAAATATAGAATCTCAGTTATTGAGTATAAACAGAAAACAAACAAATCACGTACAAAGACATCAAATAGTAATAATAAATATATGGTGAAAATTAACCTTATAGTAATTAAAGAAATAGATGTTAAAACAAACCAGTGATAAAGATATAGAGATAATAAGCAATGGTTTGCTCATACATTGCAGGTGTCATTATAAAATGATACTGTCCATTCGGAAAGCATTTTGACTATATGTCGTAGGTCAGGGTGCTCCTACATTTTGATTCAGAGGTCCCACTTCTGGGACTCTAGCCAGAGACATACTCCAAAATATGGGGAAAGTTATATGCTGCAAGTTGTATATCACAGCATTATTTATATTGAAGACTAGGCCACAACTTCAAGATGCTAGAGGTAGGGGCTATACCCAACTCCCTGTAGCCACCTGGACCACGATGCTACTTCATGTTTCTCTGCTTTGCACATATTCCTGGTCTCTACCTGAAGGACTCTCCTTGCCCTGTGTCTGTGAGCTGAGCTCTCTTCTCTCACTTATCCTCAACACTTTTGATCAGCATTTTCCAGGCTCCCTCTTTCATCCCCACAAGCCCTCCTACACTCTTCCATTTTGGCCCTTGGAGACTACCTGTAATTAACTCATTTCCCTCCCCATCTCTTCCATTCTGCTACGTCTCCTTCAAGGGTGTGCACCATTTCCTTTTAATCTTAGAATTACTAGCATCCTGCCAATGTTTCAGGTGCTTGATAAATATTTATTTAAAAATGGATGAATCAGGGACTTCCCTGGTGGTCCAGTGGTTAAGACTGTGGGCTCCCAATGCAGGAGGCATGGGTTCGACCCCCGGTCGGGGAACTAGGATCCAGCATGCCGCATGGCACAGCCAAAAAAAAAAAAAAAAAAAGGATAAATCATTTACTCAAAACTTTTACAGACATTAAGGATGATGATTCTAATCGCTTATATGTGGAATATAGAAAAACGGTACAGATGAACTTATTTGCAAAGCAGAAATAGAGACACAGATGTAGAGACCAAACTTAAGGATACCAAGGGGGAAAGGGAGAGTGGGATGAATTGGGAGATTGGGATTGACATATATACACTAATATGTGTAAAATAGATAACTAATGAGAACTACTGTATAGCACAGGAAACTCTACTTAGTGCTCTGTGGTGACCTAAATCAGAAGGAAATCCAAAAAAAGAGGGGATCTATGTATACATATAACTGATTCACTTTGCTGTACAGTAGAAACTAACACATCGTAAAGCAACTATATGCCAATAAAAATTAATTTTAAAAAAGGATGATGATTATAAAGAGTATGTGGCAATGTGTGAATACATTATAATGTTCAATTTTAATTTTGTGGAAATATCTCAAAGTAATATAAAATATGAAAAAAGCAAGGTGCAAAATAGTATACAGAGTAGGCTACCATCTTGTAAAAAATAATAATAAAGCATGTTGGCAAAGGAGAGTGGAAAATTTATATATGCACATATTTCCTTGTTAATGGGTAGGCTATGTATAGAAGAAAATAAACTGGTAGTAGTGGTTTGAGGGGCAGGGGGCAGACTAGAGGCCTAAAGATATGATGGGAGGGAGGCCTGCTTTATTTTTCAATATATAAAAAATATATATATTTTTTGTTTTCAAAATTTGTACCATGTATATGATATACCTGTTTTGAAAAACAGATCAATCTACAAAATTGTATGCAATTATATGAAAAAAGTTAGGCGTGAATTCTTGACAAATAATGGTTGTTCAGCTGTGGGATTGTGGGTGATTTTGTTTTCACGTTTCTGGTTTCTTTTGTATTTAATGTGGTTATACTGCTTTTACAATGACAAAGATAAAATTATAAATAAAGACATAAACAAATAACTAAGTAATCATTATATTTATTTCAGCACCACCTTTCATGACTCAATAAATTCTGGCCTATTTTAAGGAGGAAAAAAAAGGAGAGTAATTTTCTCCCTGGAGACAGCTACAGCCATCTCCTTTATAAGTCTGAGGTTGAAAAAATGGTTAATAAGTTTAATTACTGAAAAGTTAATCAGCCTTTCAAATGGCAGTAAGAACAAGTAAAGCACATTCTTCTAATAGTTGCCCAAAAGGCAAGATATGACAAGAGCGTTTTAACCTAAGACACCAAATTTAGTGAGCTTGACTCTCTGTATTTCACTCTCCCCACTGACTTTCTGCCTCCCTCCTCTCTCTCTTTCACTGTCTGTCTCTCTGCTCCTCTAGTCCTGTATTTTTCTTTTCCTTCTCTGTGGCCAGCACTGGTGGTTGTCTACCCACCTAATGTTCCAATGTCCCCCCTCTTTTCACAGCCATAGGCCTGGGAAGGTCAGCTTCAATGGGTGAGCCAAACTTGGCTCTTGCCAATGTTCAGTTCAGAAATGGGCATGAGGCTTCCCTGGTGGCGCAGTGGTTGAGAGTCCGCCTGCCGATGCAGGGGACACGGGTTCGTGCCCCGGTCTGGGAAGATCCCACATGCCGCGGAGCGGCTGGGTCCGTGAGCCATGGCCGCTGAGCCTGCGCGTCCGGAGCCTGAGCTCCG